AGCACACCAGGCCTCCCTGTCCATCACCAACTCCCAGAGATTACTCAGACTCATGTCCATCGAGTTGGTGATGTCATCCAGCCATCTCATCCTCTGTCGTCCCCTTCTTCTCTCCTGCCCCCAATCCCTCCCAGCATCGGGGTCTTTTCCAGTGAGTCAACTCTTCGCATGAGGTGGCCAAAGTATTGGAGTTTCAGCTTCAGCATCAGTCCTTCCAATGAACACCCAGGACTGATCTCCTTTAGGATGGACTGGTTGGATTTCCTTGCAGTCCAAGGGACTCTCAAGAGTCTTCTCCAATACCACAGTTCAAAAGCATCAATTCTTTTGGCGCTCAGCTTTCTTTACAGTCCAACTCTCATATCCATACATGACCACTGGAAAAACCATAGCCTTGACTATACAGACCTTTGTTGGCAAAGTAATGTCTCTGCTTTTTAATATGCTATCTAGGTTGGTCATAACTTTCCTTGCAAGGAGTAAGCGTTTTTTAATTTCATGGCTGCAGTCATCATCTGCAGTGATTTTGGAGCCGCAAAAAATAAAGTCTGACACTGTTTCCACTGTCTCCCCATCTATTTCCCATGAAGTGATGGGACCAAATGCCATGATCTTAGTTTTCTGAATGTTGAGCTTTAAGCCAACCTTTTCACTCTCCTCTTTCATTTTCATCAAGAGGCTTTTTAGTTCCTCTTCACTTTCTGCCATAAGGGTGGTATCACCTGCATATCTGAGGTTTTTGATATTTCTCCCGGCAGTCTTGATGCCAGCTTGTGCTGGAGTCCAGCCCCAGCAGGATCCAGGGGTACCCTCAGGATGAATGGCGTTGGCGAGTGAGAGAGAAGAGAGAGAGACCAGACCGGAGTGTGCAGCAGAGTCTGGCCCATGCTTTATTTTTCACCGTAGCATTTATACCCTAAGTTGGCAAATTTCTAAGGGGAAGATAAGCACACAGACTTAGTTTAACATTACATCAGCTTGTCCTTCACGAAACCAGATGTTCTCTGTATATTTTTGTTTATGAAAGTCTTTTCCATAGATTTTTGTACATTATCTTCTGGCCTTGAGCTTAGCAGAAAACAAAAGTGGCGGTCTCATGGTACAGCAGGTTGCAGCATAGTAGAAACACAATCCTGTTAACATAAAAGACAGTCTTTTTGCAGAAGTTCTCAGCTAAATTTATCAAAAAAAGTTTAGCACACACAGAGTCTGCAGCTCTGGTGAGGCAGCCCCTGTTTAGCACTCCTGGTTAAAATGCACAATTATCTTATTGTTTTTACACTAGGGCTAAACTCTTAATTTTTCTAGATTTTTTAACTATATTAACAATAGTTTCCACTGCACAACCTCAGCACATTAACAGCAATCAAACGTTGATCCAATAACCACTTTTAAAACAATATTTTTTGTATTCTCTAATAGGGCTTCCTCACCCCCTAAACGGCTCTGTGCCTATTAGGGCCTTTTTTATGGTTAACCACTTTTAAAACAATATTTTTTGTATTCTCTAATAGGGCTTCCTCACCCCCCAAAGGGCTCTGTGCCTATTAGGGCCTTTTTTATGGTTAATCTCTGTGTGTAATATCTTTCGGCCTTTAGGCCTGTTGACAATTTATGGCTTGCACCTAGTGTAACTTTAAGCAACTTCAGTAGCTAACCCTGTCTTTCTTGTGGTTAATCTATTTTCTTTCTATTAGGTGTCATCTCCATGGAACTAGATAGGATTACATTTTTACGGAACAGAAATGCAAAGGATTGCAAAAACAGCAGATAGAGCACAAAACAGGCTTATTCTAAAAGTTAACTACCTGCAAGAAGTCACCAGCTAATCTCTATCTAAAGTATTTTTTATTAGGCACATTTGTGGCTATTTTATTTGTGGAGCCTTTCTCACCCCGCGGAGGGACCTATGCTTAATGGTTTCTTCTGTTAACGTACTGTGCTTAGGATGCTTAGAACAATCATGAGCATTCTTTGCAATAGGAGCACACATGTGCCAAACAAGCCAGAGTGCCAGCAGAAGGGTTTGAATTGAAGCATTTCCTTCATCTTTGGCCCCTTCATAGGGTACCAGCGTCTAGGAGATTTATTAATTAGGGTTTTCAGTTGGTCTTTATTCAATGAAAGAGGAGCAGGAGAGCTCTCGGCAGACAACACAAGAATCTGCAGCAGGGCGAACAAGAACAACAGCAGGAAAAGGGGGGAGGATACAGGGTGGGGTAGAGGCTGAGGCCAACCTGGAGGGTCCCTTGTGTCCTGAACGGCCTTGCGTGTCAGGTCTTTTCACGACCTCATCATGGGTGGGCTCTCCCACAGCGGCTCCCGGCAAGCTTGTGCTTCTTCCAGCCCAGCGTTTCTCATGATGTACTTGGCATACAAGTTAAATAAGGGAAACCAAGCTACGCCATGTGGGGCCACCCAAGACGGACGGGTCATGGTGGAGAGGTCTGACAGAATGTTTTCCACTGGAGAAGGGAATGGCAAACCACTTCAGTATCCTTGCCTTGAGAACCCCATGAACGGTATGAAAAGGCAAAATGATAGGATACTGAAAGAGGAACTCCCCAGGTCGGTAGGTGCCCAGTATGCTACTGGAGATCAGTGGAGGAATAACTCCAGAAAGAATGAAGGGATGGAGCCAAAGCAAAAACAGTACCCAGTTGTGGATGTGATAAAAGCAAGGTCCAATGCTGTAAAGAGCAATATTGCATAGGAACCTGGAATGTTAGGTCCGTGAATCAGTGCAAATTGGGAGTGGTCAAACAGGAGATGGCAAGAGTGAATGTCAACATTCTAGGAATCAGTGAACTAACATGGACTGGAATGGGTGAATTTAACTCAGATGACCATTATATCTACTACTGTGGGCAGGAATCCCTTAGAAGAAATGGAGCAGCCATCATAGTCAACAAAAGAGACCAAAATGCAGTACTTGGATGCAGTCTCAAAAATGACAGAATGATCTCTGTTCATTTCCAAGGCAAACCATTCAATATCATGGTAATCCAAGCCTGTGCGCCAACCAGTAATGTTAAAGAAGCTGAAGTTGAACAGTTCTGTGAACACCTACAAGACCTTTTAGAACTAACACCCAAAAAAGATGTCCTTTTCATTATAGGGGACTGGAATGCAAAAGTAGGAAGTCAAGAGATACCTGGAGTAACAGGCAAATTTGGCCTTGGAGTACAGAATGAAGCAGGGCAAAGGCTAATAGAGTTTTGCCAAGAGAACGCACTGGTCATAGCAAACACCCTCTTCTAGCACATAAGAGAAGACTTTACACATGGATATTACCAGATGGTCAACACTGAAATCAGATTGATTATATTCTTTGCAGCCAAAGATGGAGAAGCTCTATACAGTCAGCAAAAACAAGATGGGGAGCTGACTGTGGCTCAGATCATGAACTACTTATTGCCAGCTTCAGACTTAAATTGAAGAAAGTAGGGAACACCACTAGACCATTCAGGTATGACCTAAATCAAATCCCTTATGATTATACAGTGGAAATGAGAAATAGATTTAAGGGACCAGATCTGATAGACAGAGTGCCTGATGAACTATGGATGGAGGTTCATGACATTGTACAGGAAACAGGGATTAAGACCATCCCCATGGAAAAGAAATGCTAAAAAGCAAAATGGCTGTCTGAGGAGGCCTTACAAATAGCTGTGAAGACATGTACCTTTCTCTTAATGCTGGAGGCAGCTTAGAATTGGCAAGGATTTGGAGAAATCAGAACTCTTATACACTACTGCTGGGTGTGTAAAGTGGTATAGCCACTGTGGAAAATAGCCATTTTTCAACAGAATTACCATGTGTGTGTGCACGCTAAGTTGCTTCAGTCATGTCTGACTCTGTGCAGCGCTATGGACTGTAGCCTGCCAGGCTCCTCTGTCCGTGGGATCTCCAGCAAGAATACTGGAGTGGGTTGCCATGCCCTTCTCCAGGGGACCGTCCCAACTCAGGGATCAAACCTGTGTGTTTTAGTTTGCTGCATTGCCAGGCGGGTTCTTCACCACTAAAAGCCACCTGGGAAGCCCCAGCAATTCCACTGCTAGGTAAGAGAAATGAAAACAGACGTCTACACAAAACCTTCTAAGTGAATGTTTATAGCAGTATTTTATGCAGCGTAGCCAAAAAATGAAAACAACACAAATGTCTATCAGCTGCTGAATGGATAAATAAAAGTGGTATGCCTATACAGTGAAATATTATGTGTAAATAAAATGAATGAAAATACTCATGTATGCTACAACTTGGATGAAGTTAGAATGCTAAGTGAAAGAAGGCAGTCACAAAAGACCATGTTATTTGAATCTAAATCCATTATTTGAAATGTTTAGAACAGGCAAATCTAGAGACAGAGTAGATGAGTCGTTGCCTAGGACTGGTGGGGCGGAGGATGTGGGATGGAATAGAAGGGTGACTGCTTAATGGTATGAGGTTTCTTTTGGGGTAATAAATATATGTTAAATTGCTTGTGGTGATGGTTGCACAACTCCTGTGAATATAATAAAACTATTGTGCAGTTTAAATGGGTGAATTATATGCTATATTATATTTCAGTAAAACTACTTAAAGTCAAATGGTTCTCAGGCATTAACAGTAGCCCTTTTGTATTGTTTCTTCATCTTGCCAGCAAAAAGAGTTTGAGTTGCTTAAGAAGCACAATTCCATTTGTATTGATTTATACTATTTTGTGTGCTAAGTTGCTTCAGTCGCGGCTGACTCTTTGTGACCCCATGGACTGTAGCCCGCCAGGCTGTTGTGTCTGTGGAATTCTCCAGGCAGGAATACTGGAGTGGGTTGCCATGCCCTCTTCCAGGGAATCTTCCCGACCAAGGGATCGAACTCAGGTCTCCTGCGTTGGCAGGCAGGTTCTCTACCACTAGCGCTACCTGGGAAGTCCCGAAGAGTCGGACACAACTGAAGTGACTTAGCACAAACACACTTTGTGGCTAAATATATTCACTAGTGGTTATCATGTTTCTTGTTAGTTTCTAGTGCCAAACTAAAAAGAAAAAAGAACTGGTTTGGAACAGCAATATATACAGAAGTAGCTGCAGATGGAGAAAGTAAGAAAACAGCAAAATCCAGTAGTTCTTCTAATCCAAAATGGGACGAACAGCTAACTGTGTAAGTATCTGGTGTAAAGAATGCAAACTTTTCAAGAGAGTATTATTTTGGGAATGTTTTTCTGGTGGTGGGGTTTTTTGGTGATTTGCTGTTGTTATTTTGGTAAGATAACTTCAAAGTAAAGAATTCTATATTTTAGTGTGACTAGACAATTTTAAATGTGAAAAAAGTTTTGGTTAATTTTATTTTCTTTAGAAATGAAGCATAATAATTCTTGCTTTTGTTTTACAAACTTTTTCCATATAATCATATTTTCTCTTATTGTAAAAATAAATAGAGCAGAAAACCATTTGGTATTTCTGAAATACAGTGTTAGAAATTTATGTGTAGTAAAAATATTATAATGTAGTCAGCTATCTTAGTTTTTTTTTTTTTTATCTTTAAATTTATTTATTTATTTATTTTTTATCACAACCATAGTGTATCTTTTTTTTTTTTTTTTTTACATGTATTCCCCATCCCAGTCCCCCCTCCCACCTCCCTCTCCACCCAATCCCTCTGGGTCTTCCCAGTGCACCAGGCCCGAGCACTTGTCTCATGCACCCAACCTGGGCTGGTGAACTGTTTCCCCCTAGATAATATACGTGTTTCAATGCTGTTCTCTTGAAACATCCCACCCTCGCCTTCTCCCAGAGTCCACAAGTCTGTTCTATACATAGGAGTCTCTTTTTCTGTTTTGCACATAGGGTTATCGTTACCATCTTTCTAAATTCCATATATATGTGTTAGTATACTGTAATGGTCTTTATCTTTCAGGCTTACTTCGCTCTGTATATCAGCTATCTTAAATCTTTAGATATTTGTTCAAGTAGCATTAATGTTATTGTGAAGTCTTAATAAGACTTTTGATGTATTGTTGGTGTTTTGCTTTGTCAATTACAGAAATTGTTTAGGTATTGAATTCCTAATGTACTTGAAAATAAATGTTTTTATTTATAATTCAGCTAGTTTACTGTTTCATGTAGTATTTTTTCCTTAAATATGAATTCATGTCTTTTTGAAAATTATTGAAGTAAATGTATTCTCCTGTGTTTTTGTTAAAATATTACCTTTACAGAAATGTGACCCCACAGTCTACATTGGAATTTCGAGTTTGGAGTCATCATACTATAAAAGCAGATGCTTTGTTAGGAAGAGCAACAGTAGATTTGAAACAAGCTCTGTTAATACACAATAGAAAATGTAAGTTTTTTGTTCTAATCTTTTTTTTTTAATTTTACTTTAGACATTCTTAAAATAGCCTGAAGTCTAAAAGCAAAAAAAAAAAAAAAAAGTTTTGTATTCATAAAAGGAGAGATTCATTTATTACCTATGACTTTTTAAAAATTTATAACATCATTTGAAATATGAAATATGTACACTGGCATTTCTCTATGCAAGAAATTTATACAAAATAACCCCATTCATCTGTGAGTATACCCTTTTATCAGTGATCATCAGTGATTTACTTTATATTCAAAGGCATGAAAACTGATCATTATCTGAGCCTACTCTTTGTTTCTTAGCTAATAACAATTTTGTCTGTACAAAATAGATTCTGACTCTTTAATTTTCTTTTTTCATTATCTAGTTCATGTTTTGAAAATATGGAGTCTATAGAAAATCACAGAGGAATATAAAAATTATCTGTAATTTTTACTATCCAGAGATAACTATAGACACATTTTTTTCCTTCTTTTTATCTATTGGTTTATCCTCTTCTTTTTTCATTTAAGAATATAATATGAACATTATGTTTCCATTACATAAAATTTTTCTAGCATAAGAATTCTTAAAAGTAGTTTAATTATTGTAAACTTTCTATCATGGTGTACGAAAATTTGGGTGTATATACTTGTTACTTCTAATTCTGAGAAATTCCTTTTATGAAATTCTCAAAATATTGTGTGATCTAAAGAGTATTAAAAACTGGATGATTTAACTGGTTTCTTATTTGATGTTTAGGCAGTTTCTAATAGTTCACTCAAATACAACTGTAAATCTTTATGTTCATCGTCTTAGTTCCTTAGAAATTTTCTTATTCCTAACAAATGTGCTAAAATGCTTATTTTTAAAATGATAATTTTTAAAAAAAAATTCCATTTTTAACAAAAAATTCATATTAACTGAAAAATCTGTTTTTAGTATAGTATTTGGACATAAGGAGTTATGAGTCAAGAAAATGTAAAAGCCACACTTATTTTTATGTATGAGTGCGTGCTAAGTCACTTCAGTCATGTCTGACTCTTTGGGACCCCCATGGACTGTAGCCCACCAGACTTCTCTGTCCGTGGTATTCTCCAGCCAAGAATACTGGAGTGGGTTGCCATGCCCTTCTCCAGAGGATCTTCCTGACACAGGGATTGAACCCGTATCTTCTGTGGGTGGATTCTTTACCACCAGTGCCACCTGGGAAGCCTCAATGTATATGTGTAGTGATTAAAAAAAAAAAAAATCTCTTAAGCATTGAAAGTTTAATTCTCTGTTGTGTTATGGCTTTTGGTCATTCAATTCATCTTTGTGACAGGGATAAGTTGTAGGTCTTGTATGCAAACGTATGTTGCTTGGTCTGATGGTAGCTGAATTTGTACTTTACCCCCAGCTCTGTGGCATTATTGGTATAAATATGTAATACCTGTCAGTTTACCTGTATTATTTCAGAATTGACTGTTTGGTTTCACCTATTTATATGCTGTTTCTACTCTGGATTAAGCTTTTACAGAGGACCTCTTTTCTAGTACAGTGGTTTTTTTCTCATAATCTCACAGCCTAGAGATAATGAGTGCTGATATTTTGGTGAATTTTGTCTACCTCTGTACATGTATAATAATTGGGATCATATTCACCTTAACTCTCAATGTTACATATCTTGTGCATTTCTCTGTGTAATTCATTGGTATTCTTTGAAAGCCAATTTTAGTACTTTCATAATTTTACCGCAAACCATAATTTTTAAACCATGTTCCTACTGTTGCCATTTAGATTGTTTCCAAATCTGTTACATTAGGCTGTACTGAACCTTCCTATAAAGACTGTAATTCTCTACAGAAAGATTATAATGTTTATCTGCCAAAGTGATTTTGTGGGAAGGTTGTAATGTCTATATACTTGGAAATGAAACTCTTATAAATTGTATATACTTAAAATTATCTCTTATTATTTAATTAGGCAGAATGTTCTCAGAGGAAAAACAAAATTTTATCAACATTCTTGCATGTCTGAAGTCAGAGGTTTCAGAAATTATAGTAGGAACATCCTGTACACCCTAGGCAGTCAGTATTTTTTTAAATTTTTTTTGATAATTGAAAGGTGTATTAGTTTTCCAGGGCTGCCATAGCAAAACACCGCAGACTGAGTAGCCTAAACAAAAGCAATATACTCTCTCACAGTTCTGGAGGATAGAAGTCTGAGATCAAGAGGTGGACAGGGTTGGTTACTTCAGAAGACTCTTTTCTTGGCTTGTGACTAGCCATCTTTACCTTACATCTTTATGTGATTTTCCCTATGTATGTGCATCAGTTCAGTTCAGTTGCTCAGTTGTGTCCAACTCTTTGCGACCCCATGGACTGCAGCACGCCAGGCATATCTGTGTCCAATTTCCTTTTCTTTAAAGGACAGCAGTCGCATTGGATTAGGACTACCCTGATCCCATTTTAACTTAATTACCTCTTTAGAGATCTTCCAAATAAAAAAGTCACCTTCTGAGGTACCAGAGGTTAGGGCTTAAACGTATGAATGGGATGGGGTTGGAGGAGGGGGACACAACTTAGCTTATAACAAAAAGGGAAGTAAATAAGTAAATTAGCTTCAAAAATTAAAAATTTTATCAAATCATAGTGCCTTAAATGCAGGAGAAACCTGTGAGCATTAATCCCAGTCACTCATTTTGTTGATTAAATAAATTAACCTAAATTAATTGCTTGGGGGCATCCATGGTGGCTCAGACAGTAAAGAATCTGCCTGCAATGTGAGAGACATGGGTTTGATCCCTGGGTTGGGAAGATCCTCTGGAGAAGGGAAAGGCTACCCACTTCAGCTTTCTTGCCTGGAGAATTCCATGAACAGAGGAACCTGGTGGGCTATAGTTATGGGATCACAAAAAGTCAGACACGGCTGAGCGATTAAGCAGAAGTGAATTGGTCAAGAATGGAAATAATCGCAGATTTTGAACTGGAGTACAGATTTTCTTATTCTTAGCTGCTTAATTTTAAATAGAAGTAATAGAAAACTAATATGCCTCTAGACAACCTTGTGGAATTTACAGATATACTCATAATTGATAAAATCCTTGGTTGCCTTTGATTCAGCCTCTTGGTTTAGCACTTGAACATTGTCCCTCTTTTCTTCCTGTGCTCAGGGCCTTGACATTTTCTTCTCATAAGTTCATGTTTTTATGTATCCGTTCTCCTGATATGTTTGGGGTAGAGTCAAGGGTTAATTCATTTGAATAGTTTCCTTTTTAATCTATTTTTGAAGGTATTTACTTCTTCAGCCTTCATGGGGTAATATGAACTGTTGGTCAGCCATGCTGCTGTTTCGTTGCTAAGCTGTGTTCAGCCCTCTGTGACCCCATGGACTGTAGCCCCCAGGCTCCTCCGTGCATGGCATTTCCTTGGTGGTAGTAGTACTGGAGTGGGTTGCCGTTTCCTCCTGCAGGGGATCTTCCTGACCCAGGGATTGAGCCCACATCTCCTGTGTCAGCAGGTAGATTGTTTACTCTCTCAAACCTACTGTTCCTACTGTTTCTACTGAACCTTCCTCTCAAACCTACTATTTCTTAAATTGCAAAGGAAAAACCTGTTGTCAAAGTTAAAGCCAGACACTAGTGGTAAGGATATATTTTAGTCAGTAATACACCTTTGGAATAAGGAAGAAGTTCCAGCTCGAGCTGAACTCATCTTCAATTTAGAAAGTGAAAGTGAAAGTCGCTCAGTCATGTCCGAGTCTTTGTGACCCCCATGGACTATACAGTCCATTAAATTCTCCAGGCCAGAATATTCAAGTGGATAGCTGTTCCCTTCACCAGTGGATCTTCCCAAACCAGGGATCGAACCCAGGTCTCCTGCATTACAGGTGGATTCTTTACCAGCTAAGCCACCAGGGAAGCCTAGCAACACTGGAAGTGGGTAGCCGTCTCCAGTGGATCTTCCTGACCCAGGAATCGAACTGGCATCTCCTGCATTGCAGGTGGATGCTTTACCAACTGAGCTATCAGGGAAGCCCCTGATATAAATCTTCAATTTATATAGAGGTTATCAGGCATTTCAAAGGGAGAATAGGGGAGTAGAAAAAGGGGTGAGTGGAACTAAGTGGAGTCAGGGAAATGCAAAATTACAAAGAATTGATCAGTGTAAATGTAATTAGGCCAGCTTTCTCAACTACTTAGAATTTTATTCTCCCACAAAGCCTGAGACCCCATCCTTCCTGATGATTACATTTTAGAGGAATAGCTTTCTGGCCCTTGAGAAAGACACTTCTGAATAGTGGACACACACACATCTTAAAAGGGACAAAGGAAGGATCCACCATTGTGAGCCCTTTTTAGTCAAACCTCTTGGAAAGGGTGGCCTATCTCAGGTGTTGCCTGGAACAAACAGTAAATTCTTTCAAGGTAGGCTGGAGTCTAGCTCTCCCTGAATTGTTAAAACTATGTTACTGTTTGTTAAAGTATTTTCATTTGGGGAAGAGTGGGGTGGATAAAATCTTTTGTGCTTGTTTTTTTATAGCCAAGGTTGAGACTTAGTCGAGAAGACAGCTCAGAGGAGCCTTACTTGAATTTGGGCAAGGAGAAAATCTTTGTCATTATATTCATGGGTGAACAGTGTAAGAGTAGTGTAACTAATTCCTAGATTGGACAGAATTTCATTTTATATTTCAGTTTTGAAACTGTCAGAGCCACTTGAAACACTCCAGAGAGGAGTCAGGTAGCTGCCTTTTAAACACTGGAATTACACTGTTTTTTGTTTTTCATGGTGTTAGTAGCTTTTATCAACAAAAGTATTTTGAAATCTATTAAGATCACTTCAAATTGAATATGTCCAAAATGATTTACAGTGAAAATTATCTCTTTACATTGAATGATAGAGAAACAAAGCAGAAGAATGTGTCATTTATTGTAGAAGAGCATCGTCAAATTTACTAAAACATTTTGTTTTTAGCCTTATTTACTTGGTTAATGCTAGTTATTTGTTTAGTCTACTAAG